AAGCAGCAAGAGAAAAAAAGTCAGTTACCTACAAGGGAATACCCATACGACTGTCAGCTGATTTCTCAACAGAAACTATGTAGGCCAGAAGAGAGTGGCAAGAAATATTCAAAGTGATGAATACCAAGAACCTACAACCAAGATTACTTTACCCAGCAAAGCTATCATTCAGAATTGAAGGTCAGATAAAGAGCTTCACTGATAAGAAAAAGCTAAAGGAGTTCATCACCACCAAACCAGTATTATATGAAATGCTGAAAGGTATCCTTTACGAAGAGGAGGAAGAAGAAAAAGGTAAAGATACAAATTATGAACAACAAATACACATCTATCAACAAGTGAATCTAAAAATCAAGTGAATAAATAATCTGATGAACAGAATAAACTGGTGAATATAATAGAATCAGGGGCATAGAAAGGGAGTGGACTGACTATTCTCAGGGGGAAAGGGGTGTTTGGGGTGCGGGAAGAGACTGGACAAAAATCGTACACCTATGGATGAGGACAGTGGGGGGAGGGGGTAAGGGCAGAGGGTAGGGTAGGAACCGGGTGGAGGGGAGCTATGGGGGGGGGGGGAGAAAGAGGAACAACTGTAATAATCTGAATAAAGATTTAATAAAAAGAAAAGTTTGAATTAGAATTTTGAATCTATTGATTGCCTTAAGTAATGCCTGCTTAATAATATTAAGATTTTTATCTATAACATGGGATGTCTTTCCATTAAGTTATTCTTTAACTTCTTTTAAACTGTTTTGTAGTTTTCAGTGTCAAGGGCTTTTACCTCCTTAAATTTATTAAATATTTTATTCTTTTAGATGCTATCCTATCTAATAAAGAGGGAATATGCTAATTGACCATCACACCATCGCAAAAGATGGTGGCACCCACAGCTAATGAGGAAATATGCCAAGTGACTGTCCTGCCCTCAAAGATGGCGGTGCTCACAGCCAATAAGGAGGGAATATGCTAATTGACTGCCCCACCCTCAAAGATGGTGGCACCCACAGCCACAAGATGGCTGGCAGGGGAGGGCAGTTGTGGGCAATCAGGCCAGCAGGGGAGGGCAGGTGGGGGCGACCGGACCGGCAGGAGAGGGCAGTTAGGGGCGATTGGGCTGGCAGGTGAGTGGTTAGGGGGTGATCAGGCTGGCAGGCAGAAGCGGTTAGGGGCAATCAGGCAGGCAGGCAGGCGAGCAGTTGGGAGCCAGCAGTCCTGGATTGTGAAAGGGATATCTGGCTGTCGAATTTTGTGTACCGGGCATCTAGTTGTAAATATAATTTTTTTTTTAAAAATGTTATTGATTTTTAGGAATAGAAACATCAATTGGCTGCCTTCTGCATGCCCCCTACTGGGGATCGAGCCCATATGAATCAAAAGGGGGACCTTTTGGTCCATGAGTTGACATTCAATTACTTAGCCACACCAGCCAGACTAGAATTTAAATTTCCTTTACAGATGTTTGGTGTATAGGGAAAAAAAGCTGTTTTTTGTGTATTGATCCTGTACGCTGTAATTTTTTTTAAAATATATATTTTATTGATATTTCACAGAGAGGAAGGAAGAGAGATAGAGAGTTAGAAACATTGATCAGCTGCCTCCTGCACACCTCCCACTGGGGATGTGCCTGCAACCAATGTACATGCCCTTGACCGGAATCGAACCTGGGACCCTTCAGTCCGCAGGCCGACGCTCTATCCACTGAGCCAAACCAGTCACGGCCTGTACGCTGTAATTTTGCTTAACACATTAGCCCCAGTGGGTTTTGTGTACTCTATGGGATTTTTTATATATACAATCATGTAATCTTTACATATAGTTTTATTTCTTCCTTTCCATTTCAGATGACTTGAATTTTTCTTGCCTAATTGCTCTGGCTAGGACTTAAGACAGTACAATGTTGAATAACTGGTGAAGACAAGAATCTTTGTACCTACTAAAGGCTAGCATTGTTTTTCACCAGTAAGGCCATTTTATTTTTGTAAATGCCCTTTATTATGTTGAAGTCCCTTCTATTATGTGGTTTTATTGTGAGAGGATCTTGGATTTTATCAAGTTTTTTTTCCGCATCTATTGAGATGATTATGATTCTCCCCCTCCCCCATTCTATTAACTTTATGTTGAAGCACCCTTGCATTCTTGGGATAAATCCTACCTGGTCATGATGTATAATACTTATGGGCTGTTGGATTGTTAATATTTTTTTTGAATATATATTTATTGATTTCAGAGAGGAAGTGATAGAAACATCAATGATGACAGAGAATCATTGATTGGCTGCCTCCTGCATGCCCCCTACTGGAGACTGAGCCCGCAACCCAGGCATGTGCCCTTGACCGGAATTGAACCAGGAACCCTTCAGTCCACAGGCCGACACTCTATCCACTGAGCCAAACCAGCTAGGGAAGGGATTGTTAATATTTTTATATCTATATTCATAAGGGACACTGGCGTGCAGTTTTCTTGTGATCTTTGTCTGGCTTTGGTATCAGGATAATACTTCACAGATGTTAGAAAGTGTTCCCTCATCTTGTCTTTTTGAAAGGGTTTGACTAGGATTGGTGGTAATTCCTTAAATATTTGTTAGAATTCATCAAACATATATGACTTTGGATTAGGCATTGATTTCTTAGATAGGCGTAACAACCAAAGAAAAATAACTTGAACACTATCAAAATGATTTTGTGTCAAAGAACATCAAGAAAAAGACAAACCAATGGAATGAGACAAAAGATTTGCAAATTATGAGTCACATATCCAGACTATATAAACTCAACAAAATAATTTAAAAATAGGCAAAGGATTTAAATAGAATAAAAATAAAATTGTTGTAAGTGGTTGTCTTTGCAGAGAAATTTTTTTGTCTTGTGATATGGTTATTATTTTTAATTTTATTCAAATGACTTTTATTGGCTTGTGTCTGTTTTTATATCAAAGTCTCACGTAGTTTAGACAGTTTGTCAACCTCAGCACTATTGAAATTTTGGACTATCCTGTGCATTGTGGGATGTTTGTGACAAAAATGTATTCAGTCAAGTTCAACATAGGGACTATATATAGCCAATATTGTAATGACTATGTATGGTGCCAGATCAGGTGATTACTTCATAAATTATGTTATTATCTAACCATTATGCTATATACCTGAAATAGTCACTCCCTATTGAGAATTACTGGTGTAGAGCCAACCAGTTCTTAATGTGAATAGCTTGTCTCCTCTAATGCATACCCACCTCACCATTTTTCACTCCCGAAGCAACCATTTCAAACAATTCTAAATATTTTTATCCTATTCAAATTTTTTGCCCATTTTAAAATTAGGTTTTTATTTTATTGTTGTGAAAATTCTTTATATAGTCTGGATATGTGATGCAGACAATTTGCAAATCTTTTCTCATTCTATTGGTCTACTTTAAAAATATGTTTTTATTGATTTCTGAGGGGAAGGGAAAGGGAGAGATGGAAACATCAATGAGAGAGAATCATTGATCAGCTGCATGCCCCCTACTGGGGACTGAGCCCACAACCTGGGCATGTGCCTTGATCAGGACTGGAACCAAGACCTCCTGGTTCATAGGTGGATGCTCAACCAGAGCCACGCCTGCTGGGCTGTCTACTTTTCTTGATGATGTCCTTTGACATCATCAAATACGGCCTTAATGTGTGACAGGGTCAGGGAGCCTGCCAGGATGTTCAGGGCATTTAAAGCTTGTGAGTTAAGATGCCAGGCTTTTTTCTTAAATCCTCACCTGAGGGTATGTTTACTGATTTTAGAGAGGAAGAGAAACAGCCATGTGAAAGAGATACATCAACCGGTTGCTCCCCTCCCCCCACCCTAACTGGGGATCAAACCCGCAACCTTTTGGTGTAGAGGACAATGCTCCAAACAATTGAACCAGGATCAGGTTTTTTTGTTTTGTTTTGAAAAATAGTAAATCAGCCTTGCCGGCGTGGCTCAGTGGTCGAACATTGACACATGGACCAGGAGGCCACAGTTCAATTCCTGGTCAGAACATGTGCCCGGGTTGCAGGCTCCATCCTCAGTGGGGGGCATCTGGGAGGCAGCAGATCGATGTTTCTCTCTCATAGATGTTTCTTTCTCTCTCTCCCTCTCATGTCCTCTCTCTAAAAATCAAAACATTAAAAAAAAATTAAAAAAGTAAATCACCAATCCTAGTAATTAAGTTGCCAGAAACATTGCTTAAAAAAACAACAAAAAACCTCCCCTAACTTTATCCATCAGGGTAAACTATATTCTAGTGCAGGGGTTCATGAGGCAACTTAAATTGACCAGAATTTTCTAACTCAAAGATCCAGGAACCAAAGTTGATACTCATGCTACGTTGCCTTTCTATAGCTAGCATAGACATTACACCTTTTCTAACATTAATATCAATAACACACATCAATGCTTATTAAATCTTTAAAAAAGTTATGCCTACTCACAGTAAGTTAGCCAAAGGCCAAGACTAAGACCTGATCATCACATGACCTGAACTTACTGTCCACCAGTGCTGTTCTCTTCTGACACTTGTTTTCAGCACATTCTCCAGCACATCTAGTGCTCTGCCTGGGGGGCTGGCAAATAGCACTTGGGAAGGGCTCCTGGTCCATGGGGCCTACTCAGGATGAAGCAGAGTCCAGATATGGCAGCTAAGTCATTGGTGGAAGCAGGTCTAGAATCCATTTTTGCTAATTATGGTTAGTATTGCCTTAAACTTATACATTCTGTGATTAAATAATTAAGAACAAACCCTAAGCAATGAAACCTTCCTTCATTAAAAACAGGCACTAAAGAGATTACTTCAGTGTATCAACTTGAGAGCCATTTCCTATTCAATATAATGAAACAAAAGAATTTAAGAATGAAATTTGGTCACTCACAACATAGCAATAGTAATGTTATTTAGGTGGTTGTTTCAAAAACTCCAGAAACCCAATTGTATTTTCATCACCTACTAAGAGACACTATTAAAATATAAAAACAGAAAAGAAACATAAGCTTTGGAAAAGGTAGACTTTTAATAACTGCTTTTATCACCAGGTTAAGTCATGCAGTTACAAAGTAGTTAGAAATTTCTGAAAGGATATTATTGTTAAAAAAAGAAAAAGCTCATTCTTACATAAATAATATCTAGCACTTCATTGGGACCCTACTATTCAAAAGGCCCTGGCAAAACACAACCGCCAACCCCAGGCTGTCTCCAGGCCGCTGTTGAAGCTGTGCCGAAGGGGAGGCCCCTGGAAGGGGATACAAAGTCAGGGTGAGTTGGGCTATTATTGGCAATGCTCAGAGCTGCCAGCCAGACTCCAAAGAGGGAGCCCAAGTGGTTTTTTTTCTGGGACACTCTATTTGAATTATTGTTCAATCAGGCAACACAATAGACTTTGAAAAGAGAAGAGCAATTAATTAACATGAGGAGGTTACTACATTCTTTGGACTATATGTCATCAATGTGGTTAATAAATTCTGACAGTCTCACACAACAGAAATAGGTGCCATCATTTGCTATGCAATGATAGGAAAGAAGATAACTAGCTCTCCATTGGGCTTTTTGTTTTGTTGGACAACATACTATTGATAAGCTATAAATGATACTGTGTTATGTTATAAAAATACTAGCTTTTTCATTCATTATGTTTATAGGCATTCACTGCTTAGTCAAGATTAGGCTTAGTAAGTGATTAAAGGCAATTTTATTACAGCAGCATGTACTTGTTTTATTCTAAAAGAATAAAATGCATAAAGAGAAACAGCATTTATTTTTGTTTGTAATCTATAGAATTGAGCTCTTTTGCTGATACACCCAAATGGCTCTCTGGCATCTACTTTTAGTTTTGCACATGATTCCCTAACCTTAATTTCTCTTTTCTTAAGGGTCTCATTTGAATCAACCTATGAGAATGTTGTCCACGGTCTAATAAGCAATGAGAGAAAGATGTGTGGTTACATGTAAACTTGTGATAGGTCTACGATGAAGAGGTGAAGAGGGTAGTAAAGGAGTCAGCGGCAATCCATCTATGTGAAGGTCAAACCGGCTTCATTGTACACCTTGAAGACTTTCTCAATGGCATTGACGTAGGCAGCTGTTCTCAGGTCCAATCCCAGGTTATATTTCATGGCTGTGCGCATGATTTGCTAAAACAAAGTAGAAAAAATAGTGAAGACCACTCGACACAGCATCCAGGCCATGAACACACAGGCACATAAGGGCCTGGCACAAGTTGCCTGTCCCCATTTCAGTGTAGGACTTGGGCAGCCAAAAAAAAACTACTCAGGCAGGAGAATAACCTCTAGTCAGGAAGGACTAATTCTCTGGAATTAAATAAACCACTGACTAGGCAGCAGTAAGAAGTTGCTCTTGAGAATTTTAGGTGTGAGCTGTCTGTGTTCTTCAGACATCGTGTTATCAGGAATGAATTCATTTGACATACTCTGTGATAATATGCAAGAACTAAGAATGGGGTGAGGAAAGTGACCTGTAGTTAGTGGTGATGGCTACGTAGCTCTCTGAGTATATTTAAGGCTGCAAAATTATATACTTTAAAAGGGTAAATTCACAGTATGTAATACCTGTTGTGCTATTCCAACTTAAATCCAAGCAGGTAGCATCTGCTCAAGAAATTAGGAAAACTGGACTTAAACTGTGTTTAAGATCTTGAAATAAGAATCAAGTGGTCAAAAAACCTTTTATTTATATAAAATTCTATAGTGAGGTCACTTGCTATAGGATAATGGAACGTGCACTGAGCTCCAATCCACTTTTGCTGACTACTTGATATTTAGCCAAACCTCACTTCCTCCTACTTGGCATGACTACTTATTTCCATAAGCCTGATAAACATATTGAAGACCCTGAAAACACTGGCTATCATTCAAGGCCGAAAAAGCATGTGCTTTGCCACACACAAATGAGGATCACATGCTCATGCACAGTCTGGGGCTGAGACCACATTGGGCTGCCCTTTGAGTCACCATAGAAATAGCAGCGTGTGCACGTACCCTGGCTGAGCGCTCCATGGTGTAGGCTAAGCCAGAGTGCACGATGTCTTTCTCAGACGCCCCCTGTTAGGAAAAAGAACATGAAGTGAATAAAACCATCCCAGCACATGCTTCGCCTCCCTGAGCACGAAGGTTCTTAAGTCAACACACAGCCAGCAGCATTAAAGATATACCTAATTTTTGTATAATATCTTCATACCTAATTAGGTAGTTGCATTTTAACCATAAGTTACTTTTCACTGTATTTGACAGTAAACAAATACTCATGAAGTAAGATCTTACACAGTAAAACAATGAACACAGAAAACAATGAACCAGGAAGGCAAGTGGTGAGATCAGCACCGGCCCCTGAGATGACACAGCACCCGAGGAGCAGGCTCCCCCGGCCACCTCCAGTGCATGAACGTTCAGTCCCCAGCCCACCAGGGACACACAGGGCACAGAAAAGCACCTGCACTTCCAGGAGCAGCTCGGGGTAGAGTCCTGAGCTCTACAGTTAGCAGTATCACCACTTGTAAAGCTGGATGAGTGTTAGCAGCTCTAATGAACCCCTCAATTCTACTGATGAGGAAACTGTCAACCAGAGAAGTTGGCCAGGTTTGCCAGTAGCTAGTTTTAGAGCTGGGATATAACCCAGGATCTTTGACCACCAAGCCAGCTCATCTCTTTCCTATACCAATTATCTCTTATCACTTATAGTCTATTTGTTTCAAGAGATTCCTCTATTTAATTTGTGTTCTGGAACACTTTCTAAAATGTTATGACAATTAACTCTCACCATTGTTCCTAATATGATATATATAGCTATCAAAAACATCCTGAGAGGCCAGATAAAAATGTATAAAGTGGGTCACCAATACAAGTTATCTATGCCAAACTTCACCCAATTAACACTATACAATTAAGAAGGTATATTTTTATAACATTTGTATCAATTAAGAATTAAGCTTTATTTACTTCTACCAAGATAAGAAGATGATCTTGCTCAACAGGTGGAACACTGCAGTTTCTTTGACTCAATCACTCAACCGTCAAAACATTTACTGAGTACCTACTATGTGCAAGGCACTCTTCTAGGCATTGTAGGTCACAGCAGAACACACAATAATGACAATTCTCTCTTCTCATAGAGCTTACTAGTATATTCTGGTGGGAATAGATACTTGGACTTAAAACCCTGAGGCTGAGTGAGATCATAAAAATTGAATTCTGAAAGAGATCTGGTTCAAGGATCAAGCCCCTCCAACGTTAAGTGAGTGGAGAGCTGATAAGAATAAGCAAAAGGCAATGAGATGGAATGATAGTGAAGGAGAAAACCAGGTGACTGTGCTATCTGGAAGGTGAGAGAAGAAAACATTTCAGGGGAAGGGAACACTGTGACAACAGCTGCAGATAGGTGAAGGAAGACGAGGACTGAGAAGTGACACTGGATTTGGCAGTGTAGGTGCCACTGGCTACCTTGACAAGACAGTTTTGGTGGAGTGACGTAGGTTTGAGTATAGAAGAACTGGACACAGAGTATATACAACTCTTAAGGAGGTTTGCCATAAGGGAAATAAAAATGGCAAGACCTGGAAGAATAAGTGGGATTAAGATTCACACACACACACACACACACACACACACACACCTTCTATATGTAAAACCCTAATATGCAAATAGACTGAACAACCGAACAACTGGTTGCTATGACGTGTGCTGACCACCAGGGGGCACGCGCAAAACATGGTGGATGTTGGCAGCAGGGGGCAGAGCGCGGAACATGGTGGGCGCTGGCTGAGGCAGGATGATGGAGCAGGTGAGCAGGGGCACCAGACCAAGGTGGGGCACCAGTCAGACATCGGGGCAAGCCTCTGGTGGTTATTGAAAATTCTTTGCCCCCGTGCGCCGTGGTCCCACCTGGCGCTTGCAACTACTGCTGGCCCTGATCATCCCTGAGGGCTTCTCCACCTCCCCCTGCTCCTGAGTGGCAACTGGGGCAGCAGCCGCCACTCACATCCGCTGATAGCGCCGGCCCCGCTTGCACCTGCTGCTGGTGCCAGTCCCAATCACTGCGCCGTCAGTGGATGCGAGTGGGCTGGCACCATCAGTGCATGGGAGCTGCAGTGGCAGGAGCGGGGCTGCCAGCAGACAGGACCATGGGCCACGGTGGGAGGGGCTGGGTGGGAGGGCGGAGGATGGGCTGAGACCTGCCCCTGTGCCCACTGCAGCCTCACGGCCCACAGTTCCTTTCAAGGTGCATGAATTCATGCACTGGGCCCCTAGTATATATATAATTTTTTAAAAAACTATACTTTGCCCTAGCTGGTTTGGCTCAGTGCATAGAGCGTCAGCCTGCCGACTGAAGGGTCCCAGGTTCGATTCTGGTAAAGGGCACATGCCTAGGTTGCGGGCTTGATCCCCAGTAGGGGACATACAGGAGGCAGCCAATCAATGATTCTCTCTCATCATTGATGTTTCTATCTCTCTTTCCTTCTCCCCTCTTCTCTGAAATCAATAAAGATATATTTAAAAAATTATACTTTTATTGATTTCAGAGAGGAAGGAAGAGGAAGAGAGAGATAGAAACATCAATGATGAAAGAGAGTCATTGATTGGCTGCCTCCTGCATGCCCTGCACTGGGGATTGAGCCCACAACCCGGGCATGTGCCCTGACTGGGAATTGAACCGCAACCTCCTGGTTCATAGATCGACGCTCAACCACTGAGCCACACTGGCACGGTAAGATTTATATATTTTTAGGACAGCATTTAGAACACCAATAGAAATGACTGCATAGAGGGAGGATTGGTGATACAGAACAGAGGGAAGGATTTGCTTGAGTTACGCATTTGATAAGTTGAAAACGGGCCCCCAATGCACATAGCAGGACTTGGGGTTAGATGGAAGTACAGGGTTGCTCTGTAACAAGAGAGCTGACACAAGGCAGGGTACAGACGCCAGGAGCTGGGTACATGGGAAAGTTCTGTCTGCTTCAATGTTCTCTGTGAGCATATACCAGGCCATGAGCTGGAGTGCAGGAGAGAGAGGGGAGAAAATAGGATATTTAGGAGAATTAGAAAATAAATGGAATAGGGGTGGCTCTAAGAATCTATGATGCTAGTGGTTAGGATCTGAGTAGTCTGCAGGGCCTCCAGCCACAGGGGGCAAAGATCTGGATGTTATCAGGGCTCAGGTGTTAACAGGGGGATCAATGAAGCAAAACTAGAACAGGGAGTCACTGTGATGATGGAGCATGGAATTTAAGTTAGATACGGAGAATGCTGAGGACATTAGGGGTGATGAGGGACAGTGAAAAGATGGTAGGTCTTGGAAGGCCCAGAACGTGGCTAGGGAAGGAGCTGGAAAAGAACTGGTTTTTCAACTGACACTTCTTTACAAGAGTAGAGGCCCGGTGCACGAATTCGTGCACTAGTGGTGTCCCTTGGCCTGGTCTATAGGATCGGGCTGAAACTGGCCTTCCAACATGCCCCGAGGGGTCCCGGATTGCAAGAGGGCACAGGCCAGGCTGAGGGACCACACCGGTGCACTATCAGGGCTGGGGAGGGATGCGGGAGGTTGGCCAGCTGGGGAGGGACCACGGGAGGGCTCCAGGGCGTGTTAAGCCTGTCTCACTCAGTCCTGATCGGCCAGACCCCAGCAGCAAGCTAACCTACCGGTCAGTGCGTCTCTCCCCTGGTGGTTAGTGCACATCATAGCGACTGGTTGACCAGTTGACTGTCTGCCCCCTGGTGGTCAGTGCACATTATAGCGAGTGGCTGAGCAGCCTTAGCATATCATTAGCATATTACGCTTTGATTGGTTAAACAGCCGACCAGTTGACGGGACACTTAGCATATTAGGCTTTTATTATATAGGATTCCTACAACAGGTAGGAGGTGAGACATAGCACTCAAGTCTAAAATGAGAAGAACTGCAAGCATTTGAAAATTGGGAGACCAATAGATTGGGCAACAATTATTTTCAAAGGATAAAAAGAAAGTCATCATAGCTGTTGCCCTACTTATTGCCTAACTAGCTGGCTGTCCTCTTTTTGTGCTCCCTCTGGAGGTTTCAATGAGTGACTGATATGTGCCAGGCAGGTGCTGGGAGGAGCAAGAAACCCACTGAAGAGCAGGATGCCCACAGCTCTGGCACGCAGAGGGCACTTTCAGGAAAGGCTGCAGAGATGTGGTGATACCTAAGAAAGAAGAGAGTATGGCATTTCTGACAGAGGGACCAGAACTATCAGACATGCCTCTGGGAAAGGGGAAGATTCATTTAGGGGAACAGTTAGTACCCAGAGTGGCAAAAGCATCTTCAAAACAAAACCCTTAACTTTTCCCCATGTTTCAATATAGTTCAGCGATCTTCACCCGATGTGCCACAAGAATGTTTAAAACATGCAGTACCAGAGGGGCACCGACCTCTTTCCCCTTAGACTGTCAAATAAAAAAAATGACAACAGCCAACACAACAATAGCCGTCCCATGTGAATTAATCAAAATTATACTTTTTGGGGGGGACGGAGGGTGGGGGGGTCAAATCAGCAAAAAAAAATGTATTTTTTGGTGTGCCACAGAATTTTAGTAATTAGTTTATGTGTGCCATGAGATGGAGAAGGTTGAAAATCGCTGATATTTCCATGACTGAATATTTCATTTCATAAGAAGATATATTATAACTGAGCCATTCATCTATATGCCGTTTAAATCAAAGTAACTTTAAAACTGACTGAGAACACAGTTCCGATGATATCCTCATGCATGGAGCCATTCCACTCCTTTGGAATGATTTTCTTAGGATAAGTCCCCAGAGCGGACATTATTATGACAAAGGGCAGGAACACTAACAACTCCTCAATTTTTCAAAGAGCTGCACCAATCTGCATTGTTATCAGAATAAAGGCACAACCGCTTCACCGCAGACATGGTGAGTAGAAGATCCATTGTTTATGCTCGTTTCATAGATTAAAGAGACCTTATTTTAATTTGTACTCCAACAGTGAGGTTGCACATTTTGTCTCGGTCTATTTCCTCTGACTTGCTTTCCATGCCTCCGCACTTTCCTGGTGAGGAAGTTCTCTTTGTGATGTGTGCGTACTACTAATATACCCTTGTCAATTGCTAATTACTGTAGAACACCCTTTCTAACCTGTTTTCACTCTTACCCATATAGCAATTCTAATTTTTCATAGTTCTAATTTTTATTTTCATTTCCATTTCTCTGAAGCTTAACCGAGTTAAATTCGCAGTAATGCTTTGCCATTACATTAGAATCACTGTGGAGCCGTCAGCATTGTCAAGGTGCCACAAGCAGAAGAGCCACTAGTTACTTATTTTGAATTGGGATTCTTCCAAGTCCTACGATGACTTTCATGTAGACACCTGACCCGAGTCTACAGAGCATGCAGTGTGTGGAAAATGGGACTGTCCCAAGCACTCACCGATATCCTGTCTTGGAACTCTGATGTGGGCACAACAGGAATAGTTCCACCATGCTTCCCAAATTTCCTTTCCAAACTCTCCTGAACCGACACTATGAAAAGCCAAGAGAAGAGAAGACCATGCCATCAGAAAAAGTCAAGCAGTAGCAACAGCTGTCCCCAACTATATTCACAATCCCAAAACCAAGAGTTTTAGAAACCTTCAACATTAATGACATGAAAGGGTTAATCATTTAAAAGGATAAAGCGCTTGGCCAAATTCCTATGTAAAGTGAAATTAGGTCACTGCTCTGTTTCCATAACACCCATTACCAGGGTTTTTCCTTGGCTCTTTAAGAAAAGAAAATGCTGAGGGAAAGAAACGGAAATAGATGGGTCACTTCACCCCGATTCTGAGCAGGCTGAGTAAAGGCACTCAGTTGGAGGTCTTGGTCTTATTTCAGCCTCATGAAAATCCTACTGTTAGCCCTGGAGCCTACTCTTGTCCAAGAAAAACAGTCTTCTCCATCAGAAGACTAAAACATTCTCACCACTACACAGGCCTTTACTCGGAGCAACCAGAGGCAGAAACGGGATGCACACCAACAGGAGCCCCCAGTTTAAACTGATGCTCTTTATTATTACTAACTTGTAGATTATGTTCTTGGAATATTACATTATAAAACAAACATTTGGATATAAATAAGGAAGCTAATATATTGATAAAGAAATTGTATATTTTTGGTCTAAGACTCATAAGCAAAATAATATAGTTTTCTATACTGAAATTAATTTATGTTCTTTAGAATTATAAAAAGGAAACTGGTCTTAACTTTAAGCTTTGTCCAGCCTTCTAGCTGGCCCAAAAGATTATTTTTGGAGAACAAGATCATCAGAACTTACTGAGCAAGTGGTAGTTAGAATCCCTTTCATATTTGAAGGTCAAACGGCCATAGCTGACATGATTTAGGTTCTTCAGCCACTCAAAGTAAGACACTGTAACTCCCCCGGCATTCAGGTAGAGATCCTACATACAAAAATTCGTCAGGAAGATGCCAAAGATATAAGATGATGGTTTTAGATAAAATCTTACAATAAACTAAGAGCTCAATTTTAGTATCAAAGCAGATTAAGTGTCAACCTTTCCAAATACATCTTAGATATCTTAGAACTTCACACTTAAATTTAACAACCCCCCTTTCCAATCCATCTGAGTTGATTTTTTTATTTTACTAATCAAGCATTTAATCAGCTATGGTTAGAGTCTCTTCTCCACCGAAACAGTTTCCTGACAAAACTGCTGCCCACTCCCGTGGGCTGGACTGTCTGGGGAATATCCCCAGAAGAGCAGCATTCCCTCTACCACCGAAGGCAGTCTAGTTCTGTGAAATTGAATTTTTAAGTGCTTTCAGCAAAGGGGTTCTTTAAAATGATCCCTAAATCCACACTAACTTCCAATTGTCAATAACCTGTTGGTGTTGACCCCACGCTTATCCACTGAAAACATGTTCCTCACATTAGCTTTCTGAGCAAAGCTGCAGGGACATTTGAAATGCATATGGTAAGGGTGGTAAAAGCAATCTTTAATTTTAAGTTAGAATAGTCTAGCACAATACACATTTATATAACCAGGTTCTAAAGAAGGCTAAATACATACTCAAGAAAGAACTTGAAGCTAGAAGAAAATGCTCAGGCGAAAATTGACAGGCTTACTATACTAACAATCATGCTTCTATTTTATTTTCTTAAACACAAACTAAAGATGAATTCACTAACAGCTTGGGAAACTAATGATCCTCCCTCCCACAATTCCTTACAAAAACAATTATGATTCCAAGCATATCTAAAAACTGGCAAACAGATGACTTACTGGAATAACCATGATGTTCCGCTCCAGGAAAATCTTATCCGCTTCTGGAGTTGTTGGCCCATTGGCACCTTCAGCGATGATCTGTAAGTCAGGGACACATAGGAATGCCGCCGCCACCACCAAATCCCCTCACTGAGCGCCAAGAGATGTGCACGTATGGGTAGGAGGTTGTAGGAAGGAGTAATTCCAGTTTAATCAAGTTAATAAAAGTCATCCTGGCCGGTGTGGCTCAGCTGATTGGAGCCGTACATCAAAAGGTTGTGGGTTCCCGGTTGGGGCGTGTGCAGGAGGCAAGTAATCAATGTTTTTCTCTCACGTTGATGTTTCTCTCCCTTCCTCTCTCTAAAGTCAATAAAGTCACTTTGCTCTAAAGTATATAAAACTATTTTTTCACCTTTTGATTTCCATAACTACTTTTTGGAAATTTGGTTTAAAAGGAAATCCACGGTGATGGTTGCACAACTCTGAATATACTAAAAGCCATTAAATTCTACACTTGGGTGAACTGTCTGGTATGTGTATTATATATCCCAATAAAGCTGCAAACAAACAAACAAAAAAGAGGATACCCAAGATGCGCACTTCCTCGACCTTCAATAGCATCCCATTAGGAAGGTCGGACAGTCTCTATTCTGCTTTTACCTTGGCTTTGATTCTGGGTGCATTGGACTTGGTCAGCTGCTTCTCACTGGCAGCAGGGATCAGTATGTCACAGTCGGCCTCTAAGATGCTCCCATCATAAACCTTTGCCTTGGGGAAACCCAGGATTGATCCATGTTGCTGTAATTGATTGAATATCAGAATTAATAGCTGCACCAGAGTTTAAATGCTTACATTTAGTGCCAAATTATATGAAGACAAAGTTATCTTTAAAGTTACATTTTAGCCCTAACCGGTTTGGCTCAGTGGATAGAGCGTCGGCCTGCAGACTGAAGGGTCCCAGGTTCGATTCCAGTCAAGGGCATGTACCTTGGTTGCGGGCACATCCCCAGCGGGGGATGTGCAGGAGGCAGCTGATCGATGTTTCTCTCTATCACTCTCCCTTCCTCTCTGTAAAAAATTAATAAAATATATTTTAAAAAAAATAAAGTTACATTTTAAAAAAGCAAGCAATGGAAATAGATTTAAATAAAGCTACTGCAAAACTTGACAATATTCAGGATAGTTCAACTGCTCAGAAATTAGCTTTAACATACCAATTTGAAGTCTTCCAGTTCCTTTGGGTCAATGCCATCTGGATTCCATATACTCCCATCAGATTCACCAACACCAACGCATTTAGCACCAAAGCGATGCAAATATCTCATAGAGTGCAGGCCCACATTACCAAATCCCTGTAAAGAACAATTACGTATGACACACAAAAAAACAACTTCCTACTACAGACAGATGGTAAGTTATACTCTGTCCAATGCAACTTGACATTCTGCTAAAAGAAATTCTCAAAATCCTTTTGCCAAAAGAAACAATGGGCTAAATGGCTTCCCTTCAACAATAAATTTCTATGTTTAGCAATGAGGAACCCAACCCTTTGTTGTCTGTGATAATGAGACCTGAAGGAGTTTAGTCCAGCCGTGGGCAAACTACGGCCCGCGGGCCGGATCCGGCCCGTTTGAAATGAATAAAACTAAAATTAAAAAAAAAGACCATACCCTTTTATGTAATGATGTTTACTTTGAATTTATATTAGTTCACACAAACACTCCATCCATGCTTTTGTTCCGGCCCTCCGGTCCAGTTTAAGAACCCACTGTGGCCCTCGAATCAAAAAGTTTGCCCACCCCTGGTTTAGTCAGTGCAGCCTTGGTGAGTTATAAAGAAATGATAGTGGTGCCAACCATACCACCCAGGTCCCTCATGACCAGATGTCCTTTGGTACTAAAATGGTAAGTCACTAATTGGGAGGAATATGACTTCTATTTTAAAGTAACATTCAACTTAATTCCTTTAAGTAAAATAATCAAATACCAAACAAATTCTTTCTGTGTACCCCTAATAGTTTAAGTGATTTCCCCTTGTGGATACAGTTTCATTTTTTAAATACTGATCAAAAGAAGTTGGTGATGCCCCGCTGGTGTGGCTCAGTGGTTGAGTGTCAACTTGTGAACCAGGAGGTCACAATTTGATTCCTGGTCAGGGCACATGCCCGGGTTTCAGGCGCGATCCCCAGTGTGGGGCATGCAGGAGGCAGCCAATCAATAAAAACATATTAAAAAACAAAATGAAGTTGGTGATAGCTTCATATGTATCCTAGAGATACTTAAATTGCTTCTAGTCACATAATCATACCAAAGCTCACACAATAAAGGGTGTAGTATTCTGAAAACAACCATTCTAAAACTTAAGAGATTAAAAATAATCAAATTTTAAAAACTGCAAATCTAAAAACAACTTATAAGTTATTCTTTAAGAAACAAAAACTTTTACCTGAACAACAAATGTTTTATCTCCAAACCCTGGTGTCATTCCTAAAATGCTCATGTAAGAGGCTTCATTGATGAAGTTTTCGATTCCATGGAAAACTCCTCGGCCAGTAGCAGAGATCCGTCCGTGGATCCCACCTTGACTGATGGGCTTGCCAGTGACACAGGCATGGGCATTAATATCCTGCAAGAGAAAGCCAGCGCTTCAGAGATGACACCTCAGGAGAATTTCCTACGATGAACCAATGGAGTCAAGGATAGAGCCAAACACATTCTCATGCAACTAAAATACGCTCTTTAGGAGTGTCATCAAGAGGCACACGACTCATTCTTTCAGATTTCTGTTCCCAGACTAATATTTCCAATGGGAGGAACAGGGCGTTAGGAATTTAACTTAACTAGATTCCTAAAGTACAAATATAATGTCACAAAAATAGGTAGTATTTTCTTTAAAAAAAAAAAGATTTTTTATTGATTTTTTCAGAGAGAGAGAGAGAGAGAGAGAGAGAGAGAGAGAGAGAGAAATATTGATGCAAGAGTGAAACATTGATCAAGCCCACAACCCAGCCATATGCCCTGACTGGGAATCGAACTGGCAACCTTTTGGTGCATGGGATGACACCCAACTGAGCTACACTGGCCAGGGCCAGATAGTATTTTTAATAGCTTAAAAGTATGATTCTTGCCCTAGCCGGTTTGGCTCAGTGGATAGAGCGTCAGCCTGCAGACTGAAGGGTCCCAGGTTCGATTCCGGTCAGGGCATGTACCTAGGTTGCAGGCTCCATTCCTGGCCTGGTCAGGGTGTGTGCAGGAGGCAACCAATCAATGTGTCTCACTCTTTGAAATCAACAACAAAAAAATTTTTTTTAAAGTATTATTCCTGGCCGGCCAGGGCCAGCGTGGCTTAGGGGAGGTCACACTTCGATTCCTGGTCAGGGCACATGCTGGGTTAGAGCTCAACCACCAGTGGAGGCAGCCAATCAATGATTATCATAATTGATGTTTCTCTTTCTCCCTTCCTCCCTGAAATTAATGAAAATATAACAAAGTATTATTCTTTCAACAAATACTTATATCCTACTTAGGATACATTCAAGCCTTAAGTGTCTTAAAATCTACCATTAAAACTTGAGTACATCACCAAAACAGAGCTTCGAAGGAAGAGGCATTATGGTGCTCTTCAATGGGAAGGCTCAATGTTGTAAAGATATTCTGTCAAACTAATCTACAAATTCAATAAAATACTACTTTTAAAAAAGCACTTAAAAACAAATAAACTCAAGTTTGCCTAAAAAGAAGTGGGCCCTAGCTGGTTTGGCTCAGTGGATAGAGTGTCGGCCTGCGGACTGAAAGGTCCCGGGTTCGATTCTGGTCAAGGACACATGCCCGGGTTGCAGCTCGATCCCCAGTAGGGGGTGTGGAGGAGGCAGCCGATGGATGATTTTTTCTCATCATTGATGTTTCCATCTTTCCCTCTCCCTTCCTCTCTGAAATCAATCAATCAATCAATATATATATATATAAAAGAAGTGGGCCAGCAAAAGTACTCAAGGAAAAAAATGGCATTTATACAAGTAATACAGTTCTCAGTTCTGTATTACTGAGAACAAAATAATTCGGGGCAACATGGAATAGTTACCAAAATAAGAAAACCTACTAACCTAGAAATTCTACTTCAAGGAAGAATAGACAAATTGGATTAGTGAGACAAGAAACTGGGCAGTACAGTTATACAGAGAAAATCAATAAAAATGAAGAAAGTATTTTACATGATGACTAAGGTACAAATTATTTAATAAGCTTAAGGCAATTTGCTACCCATGTGAAACAAGATAAAGTGCCTTACTTCACAACTTACCCCTACCACCCAATAGATATCCTAGCTTGATGAGTTAAAAAGTGATTTGGTGTTTTTCTGTATTGTTTAAACATTTTTACAGGGAGGACTGAGAACTGTATTACTCGTATAAATGCCAACAGAAAGAACAAAATTAATGAAGAAAAAACAGCAGTCTAGTAAAGTGATTTACAGAACTAGTTTTCCCACAGTCTCTCCCATGGATAATGAACACTTAGAACTGAAGAACTGCAAGCCTAGTGCCAAGTGCTTTAAACAGTGGAAATGCGAATGCCAGCACCGACAGGCATGGTGCCAGTCCTGGCCCCCAGCAAACCTAATTGCCCTGGAAGCCCAGGGAGAACACTGGCTCTTCCAGGTGGGGCTAGACAACAGGAGCCGTGTGGTTTAGGTTCACGGCTGGAAATAACAAAACTATGCTTCCTTATTGTCCTGATTTTGAATTTCCGATCATTTTAAGGAAAAATCTTTATTAGTACAGCCTCAGATTTCAGTTGGCAATGCCTCACAAACATCCTTTTGCTGTCACCACGGGGAATGAGCTATGAATAACCAATATCCTTGTCCACTACTCTGCACTCTTCAATCTAGCGTCTTGCTTAAAAAGAACAAGAGGCCTGGCTGAGTGTAGACCTATGAACCAGGTCACGGTTCGATTCCTGGTCAGGGTACATGCCTGGGTTGCGGGCTCGATCCCCAGTAGGGGGTGTGCAGGAGGCAGCCGATCGACGTTTCTCTCTCTCTCCCTTCCTCTCTGAAATCAATTAAAAATATATATAAGAACAAGAGAGCCGAAACCGGTTTGGCTCAGTGGATAGAGCGTCAGCTTGCGGACTGAAAGGTCCCAGGTTCGATTCCGGTCAAGGGCATGTACCTGGGTTGCGGGCACATCCCCAGTAGGAGATGTGCAGGAGGCAGCTGATCGATGTTTCTCTCTCATCGATGTTTCTAACTCTCTATCTCTCTCCCTTCCTCTCTGTAAAAAAAATCAATAAAATATATATATATAAAAAAAAAGAACAAGAGATCATACCCAGAGCTCACTGAACACACAAGGTGACATGTAAGACTGGCACTTCTAAAATTCTTGGTTGAATTTGCCCGTAAAATCACCCATGCCTTGTGTTTTCCTTATGAAAAGATGTTATTTATGCTTTTTATAAATAATAAACTCTACTTTAAAAAATATTTTTATTGATTTCAGAAAGGGAGATGGAGAGAGAGAGCTAGAAACATCAATAAGAGAGAATCATTGATGGGCTGTTTCCGGCATGCTCTCTACTGGGGATCGAGCCTGCAACCCGGGCATGTGCCCTTGACTGGAATCGAACCTGGGAACCTTCAGTCCACAGGCTGATGCTCTATCTACTGAGCTGAACCAGGTAGGGCATAACCTCTACTTTTTATTAGCTTTGTGGCTCTTCAAATTTTCTATTTCATCTTGTGTCACTTTAAAAAAATTTTTTTAGGAATTCATCCATTTCATTTATGTTGTAAATTTGTTATTGAATAAATTCACTTATAAAAAAAGATCCTATTTGGGAATGACAGTCAAACCAAATTCTTTGTCATATAAATGTCTCATACTGCTGTTTTATTTCAGGGGATTTATGTAACTGACCTGGTACAGTATTTATAAATATAAACACTCCTTTGTGCTAAGGGCAGTATATGGTTATTCATTTCATTCTCATGGCTGTCTCTTGAAGGAAGAAGTATTATTATTGCCATGTGACAGAGGAGGAAGCGGAGGCACTGCCACAGGTCAGAGCTGGTGTGCGAAGGAGCCAATCTAGAATCTAGGCTGCATGCCCATGTCCCCCTACAGATTGCACCCAGGGATCCAGACTGATCTCTGCGAACAACAAACATCTTTCTCGTGGGACAACAGCCATCTTTCTAATTGTCTTCCGTTTTTCTTCAAGTGTGGAAACTACTCTTCACGCCCCACTCCCCCTCTCTACTGCCCCTGCCCCTGCACTGGCTCCAGGACAAGCCAGTTGCTGAACTGGTTTCTCTTCAGAAACCCCCCCTCCCCAACACCCACAACTCATTCTTTATAACTGAGTGCTTTCTTCCCTTCAGTGACTCCAATGCTAGGACGGGCTAACATCACTGTCTTTCTGGGCTCGTTACAGGCTCCTGCCCCCCAACAATCCCATTCGCTACCACACACAGAGTGAAGCTTCAAAGGCACACCGAGCTGTGTCACACACTCACTCCAATTAGTGCTGCATTAGTTCCCTCTGCATGCAGGACAGAGACCAAATAATCTGGTCTGACTCTGCTCTGGGGACCTCTCTCAGGCCCTACAATCTCGCTCTCTACTCTGGCCACCATGGTCTCCTCCAAGGCCACCTCCTGCACGTGAGAACTGTCACCCAGGCCCGTCCTTCCGCTTCTACCCTCGCCCTCCCTTACTTAGTTGACGCCTACTCATCCTTAAAGAAGGCCTCTCTAAGCTGATCTCCTAGACGTGGCCAGGCTCCCACTGTTCTTTCCACAGCATCGGAACTTGTAGCATTCACCACAATTGTACTGAGCACCTTGTTACACGTAGCCTTGCAGGTAGTAGGTGCTCCACATATTTTAAGTGAATGTCTTTTCCTTAAATGTTTGTTTTTCAGGGTTTAATACCTTTCAAGGACAGAAAGTTAGTTTTCTTCTCGGGTTCTGTATCAGTGGCATCACTTCTGCTCAAGTCCTTCTGGTTCTCTCCGACTCGACATGGTCTTTTTCCTTGATTCCACGCGTCCTACCCAGTCTTGCCAAACTGATGTCTGCCAGGTGCCAATGCTGCCCCCAGCCCCTGTGCAGGAGGTTCTCCCTTTGCTAGTGCAGCCTGACACTGCCTGCAGCCCTCCCCCAGGGAACAGTCAGCATCAAAGGCTCCCATCTGACCAGCAGGGAGAACAAAACCCTAAGGTTTCATAGTTTTGTCCTAGTCCATGTACCTTTTCTCTCTCTTACAACCTTTATAAATATGCCTTCTCCTCAGACCATCTGAGCTCTACTCCAACTCCCCAAATCTCCCGCTGTCCAAGTTCCACCCATTTACAACTTCTAACCCAAATACCACTCCCAGGAAGCCTTGTTTCAGGAACCACAGCTCTCTATCCTTGCACCCACTATCTCCACACCTTATTTGCTTATGCCTCAATTTGCCTCAATAGGAAGGTGAGTCACCCAGTAGGTGATCCCTCTCAGAGGGCACCATCCCGGCATCCAGGATAGGGAGGCATATAAGGCAAAAAGCTCAACCCACGTTCCCTACATTTATGATTTAAGACTAGAGACCAAAGTAAAATCACATGCAAATCAAGGTATGATTAAAGGGGAGGAGAAAAGCCCGGTGAATTCTCCGTTTTCACATATAACACAACTTGTTCCTTCTTGTAGACAGCAAATGAAGCCCTGGGGCCTCTGGGTGGGTACTCACATAGTGCCCGATGGTGCTAGCATAGGTGTCCGCAATCCAGGACATCTCTCGCTCACCCGTACTCATGTCTGGGGCAGGCACGTCAATGCCCGGACCTGGGGGCACAGGGAAAAGCATCGCACCAGTCTTGAAGATAAACTCATATCAAACACAAAGGCCTTTGTAATTCTCTAACAAAGCTACTGTGGCTAGGGAACTTCAGATTTCACTTAGGAAATGAAGTCATGGTGATATTTACTAAACGTTTCACTACCAAATTTATACACACACAATGTTACATGGAAATTCCTTCCACTGGCATTTAGGTGCAGTATAAGCCACTCAATAGGCTTCTGTACGTGCCGGCATTGGCAATCAGTCCCGTCTTGGGATCTCAGTTCCTTACACTGCAGCCAGATAACAACGCCATCGGCTCTGATGAAGAGGGCTGCTGTGGGCAGAGAGTACTTGTGTGTGAGAGAGCACGGTACCATACCTTACTCAGGTGTAAGATCTCCTCCGCTAATAAAAGGAGGAAAAAGGACATTGCTAAAGCAGTTATGTTAAGCCCACATTACTTTTACACATGATGGAATGCTGCTCTGACCTATTCAAAGCTTACTCGGTGTACATAAAGTTTTAGGCCTTGGCTTTCAATTCCTCAGATCACAGTAAACAAAAATAACAAGTTAGCTCAAAAGCAGCAATAGGTATCAATGACTATACACAGTGAAATTCAGATAAAAATGTGTTGCCCGGCTGGCATGGCTCAGTGGTTGAGCGTCAACCTATGAACCAAGAAGTCACAGTTCAATTCCCGGTCAGAGCACAAGCCCTGGTTGTGGGCTTGATCCCCAGAGTGGGGGATGCAGGAGGCAGGCGATCAATGACTCTCTCTCATCGTTGATGTTTCTCTCTCTACCTCTCCCTTCCTCTCTGAAATCAATTAAAAACATATTTTTAAAAAATGGTTAAACTATTAAGTCTCTCCAAAATAAAGATCATTCTAAGAATTGTATTCAAGTTCTTTCTATAATATTTACTTTTAAACCAGCAATATAAGGTACATTTTAAGGTTCTACATTTCAGGGGCCAAGGTCCTAGACACTGCACTGTTTTGTACAAGTTAGGATGCAATGGATAAAAAACTGGTATAAGACAACTTTGAAATGACCACGGTTTACTTCTCTCACTCTGCCCTCCTCCCCAACTCAATCTGGAACTCTATGCCCTGGTAGCTTTTTTAAGGCATCTTATAAATCTCATGAAATCTAAATGTCCAAACCTACCCTCACCCCACACGACTCTCATGCTGGAAGGAGTAACACTATATTCTAGCCTCATCCTCTGATAAAAGGGCACTAATGGGAACATTAGGTTACTGCATGGGTATTTTTTTTTACAAAGTAAAAGATTGTAAACTTAACAGTTTATAAAGAGGATATCTAAATTCATACAATTAACACCCTATTTCACAAATTAAAAAAATATAGAAGAGGAAAGAATACTTCTTGACTTATTCTATTGGCCTCTACTATCCTGATATCAAAGACTTCACAAGAGCCCTAGTCGGTTTGGCTCAGTGGATAGAGCGCCGGCCTATGGACTGAAGGGTCCTGGGTTCGATTCTGGTCAAGGACACATACCTCAGATGTACACTTGATCCCCAGCCCTGGTCGGGGCAAGTGCTCCGACAACCAATCTATGTGTCTCTTATACTGATTGGTGTTTCTCTGTTTCTCCTCCTCCCTTCCACTCTCTCTAAAAATATCTTTGGGTGAGGATTAACAACAATAATAAAAGACCTCACAAGAATCCCGCAGACTAATATTCCTTAGAATATCAAAAAGAATAAAAAACTTATGAATAAACTTTCAAAAGATAGTTTAAGACTTGTACTCTGAAAACTATAAAATATCACTGAAAGAAATCAAAGACCTAAACAAGTGGAATATTCAGTGTTCATGGACTGGAAGACTTGATATGGTTTTGATAGCAACACTCCACTGTTTTCAGATTCAATGCTATCCCTCGCAACATCCCAGCTGAATTTTTTTTGCAGAAATTGTAAAGCTCATCCAATGTGAGAGGGCCAGGACTCAGACTCGGGTTAAAATTGCAACCTGAAACTGTGGAGAGGGAAGTCAGAAAAGAAGAGAAATAACTTAAATTCCACAGGTTTTCCCAGGACTAGTTCTGTGCCCTGGAGGGAGAGAGAGAAATCCTGCTTCCATCTTATGCTACGAAGCTTGCTAGCCCAGAGGTTCGGGTTAGTTGCACTGTGGGTTAATAAGGAATGAGGCTTTTGCACAAAAGAAGTCAAATTGCTAGTACTTAAGCTTTCAGTGTTTCAAGGAATCACTTTTTAAACTTTGGAACTATAAGATACTTGTCAATATAGAGAAAATTAAGTTGAATACACTCTGGATAATGGGCAATAACTACAACTTAATAAAGTATAATATAACTCAAGACTATTAAATACTTCTGAGATTTCAGAGAAGAGGAAATGACACAAAAAATTCTGAATACTATCAATTGGCTGAACATGACTTCAATTCACAAATCTCAGGATGAGTAGGCACTCCTGTGCAGGAGGCAGTCAGCTCACTAACTCGTGTAAGCCCACAGTGGTGTTCAAGAAGAGGAGGCATGCCAAGAATCCAAATGCCTTTGAAATACATTCACGATAGGTCAAATCTAGTCAAGTTCTAGTATGATCTACACTTATTTTTATTAGTTTATTTAAGTCATACCCTTCTTCCCCCTCCCCCCTAAAAAATAGGGCCAATTTCACAATAGGGATATCTTAAGTTCATAGGAATTTATGAACAGAGGGGGGAATATTGGGGAGAAAACCACAGGGACAGGAATAGAGAAAAAGTAGATCTTTCCTGTTAGTCTTCTTTAGTTTGACTATGTTGAAAAGGCAAACATTCTAGTAAGTAATTTGGTTTATTTTATTAAAACAAATGAAAACATTTCTAGAACAAGAAAAGAAATATATAGACTCAGTGCTTGCTAATTAAAGACTGAATATTCATATATCACAGAAAAGAATATTCCTATTTCTCAAAAAGAACATATGACACAGGTAATTATTAGTATGATCTAAAACAGTGATGGCGAACCTATGACACGCGAACTCATTTTTTTGGTTGATTTTTCTTTGTTAAATGGCATTTAAATATATAAAATAAATATCAAAAATATAAATCTTTGTTTTACTATGGTTTCAAATATCAAAAAATTTATATATGTGACATGGCACCAGAGTTAAGTTAGGGTTTTTCAAAATGCTGACACGCCGAGCTCAAAAGGTTCGCCATCACTGATCTAAAACATCAACCAAATGAGGATCAGTACCTTCAGAAATTTAGTCTGGCAAAAGCTCCCAGGAACAAACAACAAGAATGTCAGGAGCCCTCAAAATCAGCCATTGGCAGCAGGGAGCCACCAGTGTGAGCCTCCCGTCTCGGCCTGGCCCACTGCTTTGAAGGCACAGGCATGCTTAAGCCTCCAATTTCAAAAGGCACCAGATTTTTCACTGCTATCAGGGTTACTACTGTAAAACTGCCTTTTACAGATGTGAAAATCTTTATAATACAGGTATTATTTAGTTCCTAAAAATATGGCCCCAGTGTTTCTGAAAGTTACAATAGACTGTAAAATGCTGTTAGAGGACCAGAACCCTTCACTGTGTCCAAGGAGAAGAGGTGGAGTAGCTTCTCCTGGTGTCCAAACTGCACACTGGGAACTGGAATTTCCTACGAGAGACGTGTCATAAAGAGGCCTGGGTATCTCACCATATTCCTCACAGAACCCATCTCTCTCTCAAAGTAAAAAGGGAGCCCTATCCATGCACCGGTTCAAATTAAGACAATTACTTTTGAGATGGCCCCATTCTATGTGGAAACCTCCATGGCAACACATACCAATAAAGCCCTTCTTTGCCAATTCCATGGTGAACCTCCTTGTGATCTTTTCCAACTCATTATCCTGTAAAGAGAAAAACAAAAAACAACAAAAAAGACTTTGATAGGAAAGCCACCTGTAGAAAAGCTAGTTGCATCATATTTTCTATTTATAGAACATTTTCATATAGCTTCTTGTTTTTTTTCAGAACAACTCATAAAGCAGGCATTTTAAAGATAAAGAAATGAGAGATCAAAAATTAGGTTATACAAACAACAGAAGTAGGGCTCAAATCCTAGTTCCTGTTCTCTTTATGAATATAAAATCATATGAGCACTCCCTATGGTCTATTTTCATTTAAAGGGAAAATTTTTAAAAGAATAAAATCACATATTTATTATGATTGTGTACAGATGTTAATTTGGTACTATGAAAAGCATAACAACAACTAGCTTAATTATCTTGGAACTGAGCATAAACAGTAAGATTTTTATCAGATTAGGTAAGATATTTGTCACTAGAATCTTGAGATCCTGATACACAAATCTCAGATCATAGTAATTTATAAATATAAATATAAGTGCCTAAGAATATGAAGGTATTAATTACCTTTTAACCAAGTATGAAAACTGACATTAAGCAGATGACCTTTTATATGGCAAACACTCAACGAGTTATTTACTTGCTTTTCCATTCCTTTTAAAAGGAACAGAGACCATTAACCTCACTGGTATTGGGGGAGGGGAGCATAGACACCTAGTAATTTCAAGTCCTTTGCCAATGCACCACATGCACAGATGTCATGGTGATACTTACGGAATAGTTCTTGGGGTTGATCTTAACACCAGCTTTGGCACCCCCAAATGGCACATCTGAAATAGAAGGCTGAAAGTTGTTATTCCAAAGAAAGGATAACAAACTTAAAAAGGAAGAAAGCACTATGCAACATTACAAAGATGTGCATGATTTAAGCTTTAATTTCAGAAAATTCAAGCAATAAACCCATATTGACCTCTTCTAAAATGTTGCACTTTAAAATTCTAATGAACAGAAATTATAAACCCAGGCAAGTTACAATGCATACTTCATCAGTGTGCTTGACTATTTCTGAAAGCAAATAGCATACTTATTTTCCTTCTGCTGTTATGCACCAGATTATATGGAAAGGGCCTTAAACAAAGGTCTATACTTAAAGAAAATCCAATTAGATGGTATAAAAAGTTCCCCATTTGAAAACAGGTTAAATCTAGCCCTGGCCGGTGTGGCTCTATTGGTTGAATGTCGCCCCATGTACTAAAAGGTTGCCAGTTTGATTCCGGACAGGGCACATGCCCAGGTTGTGGTGTGTATGGGAGGCAACTGATCAACGTTTATCTTTCTCTCTCTCTTTCCCTCTAAAATCAATTTTAAAAACATTAAAAAAGACTAAATCTTGCCCTAACCGGTTTGGCTCAGTGGATAGAGCGTCGGCCTGCTGACTGAAAGGTCCCAGGTTTGATTCCGGTCAAGGGCATGTACCTTGGTTGTGGGTACATCTCCAGTAGGGGGTGTGCAGGAGGCAGCTGATTGATGTTTCTCTCTCATTGATGTTTCTAACTCTCTATCCCTCTCCCTTCCTCTCTGTAAAAAGTCAATAAAAATATATATAAAAAAGACTAAATCTTAATTAAGACTAATTAAAAAATGATGTAAGCCTTAAACTGTGAAACAAAAAAAATCAGTTCTGATAAAATATATTTCTCCAACAGCTTAAAAGTAACCTCGTAAATAAACATATTTCCCTAAAGAGCTCTCATTAGGTAACAACAAAAGAGATCACTTACCAACCACTGCGCACTTATATGTCATCAGAGAAGCCAAAGCTTTCACTTCATCTACACTCACATCAGTGCTGTAACGAATACCTGTAGTGTTTAAAAAAAGGGAGGGGAGTGAGAAAGAAAGGAATACATTTAGAACATCCTAACAGGTTAAAAAATAATGCTACACATAGAAAATGTCCCCCCTTTTTACATTTTACACCCTGGTTATTTCCAAGAAGCTAACGATGAAAAGTCAATATGAAAGGCCAGAGAGAAAGCTGCGAAGTCGACACCCAGAAACCACTCCAGGACGAGCACTGACGTGGGGTGTAAGCATTCTGATAAAAAGAAAAAGACTGGTGTTGAAGCCCCTTTTGCTCTCTGGCAGGAGTAGCTAAGAGCATCAAATAGAGTTCCTGGGGATTTAGAGAGGAATAAGAACCTGTCCTTCAGTGACTGACAATCCAGTAAGAAGTTATAGTAACTATGATTTCACAAGAAAGAAATTACCTTCAAATAAATGATTTTTACACTTTTAGGAATGCAACTAACTCAAAGTTTTATTTTATTTTACTTTTTGGTTTGGGTGATTTGGTAGTGGGGAGTTCAAGGAATTTGCTTTCTGACGACATAAAGATATGGGCAAATGGATAGTCAACAAGTACGACAGATCCAACTTCGATATCAGGAGGCTAAATAGAGGTTTTAGCTCCAAATGGGTATATTCAGAGAACCTTCCTCTCCTCACCCACTGCCAGCCTCTCTTAACCAAGAAATGAGAAAGCTGAGAAAGCCATTTCTCCTTCCTGGGGACAAGCAATTCTTTTCACTCTTTCTGCAAGGATGGGTGGGTGGCCAACCAGATAGGCAACTTTAAGTCTTAATGCCCCTGTATTTAGAAGCATAGGTGTTTGGTAGAGGGGACACAGAAGTTAGGTATGCCCACTACTTAGGTTTTAGGAGTCTTGATCAATCACCCTTCTAAGTTGTGTAGGGTTAAGCCATGTTGTGCACTCCATAGTCCATTGCTTCTTAACCCCAAGGAAGAAGGCCTGAGTGTTTGCGCACTGGTTGGGGCTCCCTGACACTGTGTGTGTTTGTGCATCATCAAGGGTATCTGGATGAAGCTGGGTACAACTTCCACTGAGAGGCACAGGAAATGGGGGACCCAAGGACATCTCAAAGAATTCTGGAGAAAAAGAATTCCAGATAGATATATCTAATATCTAATGAACTGGCAGTTTAAGGAAACTTCCCTTGTCATTTTTAAAAGCTAGTTTCTTATGTCTCAGAAAACATCTATTTATACATAAATTATGTTTTAAGATAATTTTATCTATTGTGTATGTGATCATAAACAGCAAATTCTGAAGCTGAACATGTGTCTGTAGTTTATTAGAAAAATAAAATGATTACATTTAGAGAGGTGACCTCTTAGAATCTTACATAGAATGGGTTCTCAGAACATCTGTGGAATAAACTTGTTATTAAGATGCTAAGACTGAGAAATAACAGGTGTATTATTATTTTTTAGCAAATAGCCAATGTCTGCAAAGCCTTGCTTCCTTCTCCATTTCTCAGGTCCCTGTTACAAACTTTTCATTCCAAGAAGCCCTCCCTGACCATCTACTTAAAATAGCACCTCTTCCACACCCCCACTTTCTAGCCCCTTCTATCTTACTTTATGTTTTACCACTGACTTTGTTATCTACTTGTTGACCTCCTGGCTTGCCCATGAAGACTGCTTTATTTACTGCTTTAATTCCTGATGTTTCATACAGGAAATGGCATGTATTAGACACTCAAACACATGTTGAATAATATATGAATATTTCTTGACACTTAAAACTTAAGGTGGAAAGAGAAAAGCCAGGGCCACTAAATTCTGATATACATGTAAGTTCTACATAATTCACCCGAAGTGCAAAGACTAAAAAGTATTGAAAAGCTAAAGTACTAGCACCTAAAATATACTACAGACGAAAACAATAACATTTATAATATTAAGACCAAGTATTTGCATTGAGGCCTGTGCAGGTTCCAACCTGTCCATGGTTTGGAGTTGTTATCTGCCTCATAAAGCAAAGTAGAGGGTTTATCTTCTGGGAAGACCAAGTTGTCTCCTCCAAGCCTCTACATAGAAAAACAAAACAAAACAACCCAAGTATTGTGTCTTTAAATGAAATGAGGAAATGGCGTTAGGCCAGGGGCCTGGCTTGGATGCAGTGTCCAGCTCTTCCTAAGCAGGGCCCCAGCGGGCCGGGCCGGGAGCACCTGCTCACCTGGGGAGGTGCGAGCACTGCTCCTCGGCTTCGTGTCAGGATTGCACAGGACAATGCGTGTGAGGCTTAATGAACCTTGATTTCCTTTTTTCTTAAGATAAATTCATGGGGATAGTAAAATAGTTCACTATTAGTTAGTATTCCTCCTATTCCACATAAAGCACGTTTTTCATTACCTTTAGAGCCCATGGAAGTAGTCACTAAGTCATTTTAATTTTGCTTGCTGTCTTAACACATTGCGGACCAGTAATTTTATTGCTAGCTTTACTCCGTGGCCAGATAAGTTTCCATTGAACGAGTACAAAAAACGTTTTAAAATTAAATACCTATTGCATTTTGAAGTTATTTATTACATGTTCTTACAAGCTAATGTCTTTTTAAAGTATGATACTTTGTAAAACACTGTGTAATATGCAGTGAGAATTCTCATGATCCATCTGCAATGTGTTAAGTGGGGGAAAATGTTACTTTCCCTTACTCAGTGTTTATAATTAATATATTCACCAGGAAACAGAATGTCTTGAAATACTAATACTCATAAGTCAGATAGCAATCCTAATACAATAGGCATCCCTTGTGTTTTGAGTTATGTCTCCTCACTTTTACGAAAGACCTACACCAGTGCCTGTTTAGGTTAACAGAAAGAAATCCAAAGAAATTTTCACTTTTATGAAAAACTGAAAAATGTTCAGCATGTTTTGTAATGAGTGTTACAGGGCAGCACACACCCAGAGCAGTGAGTGGCACTGCTTTTAATATGTTAGTGTTATTTAGGTTTTGTGTTATTTGGTCTGTCTGTTATTTTTTGGGTCTGGGAGTGCTCAAATTTTTCCCCATATAAATTAGTGGGGAAATTAATGGTAACTGCTTCTTCGATTTACACCATTTTGGCTTATAAAAGGTTTCATAGGAACACTATTTTTTTGATAGCTTTTGGAGAGCAGGTGAAACTTTTCTTATAGACATAAATGTTAATTAGAAACTAGACCTCTCCTTCTACAAAAGGGTATAAATAAAATGTCTAATTCATTGCAAAAGTCCTGGAATGATGAGTCAGAAACTGTGCACGTAGAACAAAAAACATGTTTCCAATAGTTAGAACACAGGAACTCTGGTTTGTAAAGTGAAATTTTCTTCCCTAGCCACACCCATTTAGAGATTTCAATGGCAAGACTTGGAAGAAGTAGCTGCATCAGATACCTCCCCCCACAGGCTTTTCTGCAGGAGCTGTCAGGAAAGAGGAAGCGTGCTGGGCCGACATGGGTGGACTCAGAGGCGAATGCAGGGGGCACTGCCTGGGCTAAAGAAGAAACAGGTTTTCAACTAATCTGTGGCATATAAATGTTTTTATTTCTGGAACTTGGAAGATATGCTAGTAAAAGTTACTTAAACTGTTAATCTGAAAAACACAAAGTCTCAAAGTACCTTAAATAAAATACTCTGTAGCAATACTTGAGACAAAACAAACTCCAGTAATAAAGGAGTTACATGCAGAGAAGCTAGTTGCTCTTCCTCCTCTGGGATTGGAAACCAAAGACAATTACTAAAAATATATTGTCACCTGAAAATTCTTATATTTTGCTGGACACTAAGAATGTGACTGCAAAAAAGATACACTCCACTGAGATTGTAAATTCAATGGATTAGCAGAACTGGACTACTAAAGGGCAAAATGATACGACACATACTTCAAAGTTCTGCAAGAAAGGGAAAACCTAGCATTTTTGGATGCCTAATACCTCAATACTCAATTTGAAGACAAAGCTGTTCAATATGCACATACATACAAGAGAGCCAGAAAACCTTAAAATATTTCAAACCAAAATAAACCAAGGAGGTCATATTTGCAGTCTGAATATTCTCACTTTTTATAAAACCAAGCCTTTCCTCCTGTTGGGGTAGGAAGTGTGGCAGAGAAGGCTAAAGGTGAGCAGGACCACCCTAGCTTGGGTCTGTGGACTGAAGGGTCTTGGGTTCTGGTCAAGGACTTGTAGGCTCCATCCCCATCCCAGTGGGGGCACATGTTGGAGGCAGCCAATCCAATCGATGTCTCTCTCTCCCTTCAAAAATCAATGGGGAAAAATGTCCTGGGGTAAGGATTAACAACAAAAAATTGAGCAGGGCCAAACAAAGATCATATGGGACACAGGGACATAAATGAGAAAGGAGAAAATTCTTATTCTAGAAATGGAAAGTAAATTCTGTGTTTTGGCATCCTAGTCTTACTAGTACAGCACTGTTTGTCAGCCTCTGTTGACACCAGCATTAGGAATGTGTGGGAAGAAATCAGCTGAGTCTTGAACAGGGCTGGCATTTTCAATGAGAAGCTGGCTAAACTAGAAAGCAAATGGGGTGATTACACAGGTGTGGACCACAGGACTTCTATCATTAGAAATGGGTCTAAAACCAAGGACAACTTTCTGATGAATAGCAGAGTAATCTGTGCTTTCAATTCAAAGAAACTAAAGAAAAACCACCCATGGCAATGCTTATTATTTATCAAGCTTGGTAAAGTTGGAGAATGGGCTGGTGATAGAATTAAGTACCTACTTTGCAATGGGAACTTTGAAATCATCCCTTTCATTCAAGAGAAATTAGCTGTTTTGAGCTAACTGGTATGCAGGTGTCTCAGAAGAACATTAATGAAATGCATGCCAGTTAGCTCAAAATAGTCAATTTCTACACACAGCACAAAGCATTTCTGCCTTTTAACTTACTTACCAAAGATATTTCTTACTAACCTCAAGAGCCTAACCATTGGTGTGCACTAAGTTTTTCTAGGACAATTAAAAATCAAGAGCAAAAACTAGCTGAAGTTGCTATGGTGATGAAGAAAACA